CTACCAGTCCATTGTGGATCAGATGACATGGGGTCACCGACGTCTTCAGGACACGTTTGGCACGTGTGGTATACCAAAGATCGGGTGGCAGATCGACCCCTTTGGTCACAGTCGAGAACAGGCGTCCCTTTTCGCACAGATAGGCTTTGATGGTCTGTTTCTACAGCGTCTGGATTATGACGACCAGAATAAGAGAAAGGCTGAGAAGAGGATGGAGTTGATATGGCAGGGAAGTGATGACTTGGGAAGTGCTGCCGATATGTTCACACACGCCATGGAAATGGGTTACGGTATGTGTGATCTCACATAAAATCTATATTGCTTTAATTATAACTACCGGAATCAATTTGAGTATGAATTATACCACCAATTCAATATTGAATATTACAATTACAGGTCCACCCCGAGGATTAAATTGGGATATAACAGGTAATACGTTCAATCAGGGTGGGGATGAGCCTTTCATAGATGATCCGGAATCAGAAGATTATAATGTCGACCGACTCGTTGATAACTTCATAAGCTATGCCAAAGAGTACTCTAATTATTATGCCACAAATAATATACTGTTCCCAATGGGCACTGACTTTTATTTCCAGTCAGCAGAACCCTGGTATATAAATATGGATAAACTTATCAAATATGTGAACGAAAGGAAAGCCAAGGGGTCCAACATTAACGCATTTTACTCCACTCCTACCTGTTATATGCATGGCATACATCTCTCTAACCATACCTTTACCACTAAAAAGGACGACTTCTTCCCGTATGCCTCCAACAACCACTCCTATTGGACGGGATATTTCACGAGTAGACCCGCTTTGAAACGATATGAAAAAGTCGGCAATAATTTCCTTCAGACGTGCAAACAATTGGATGTCTTAACTCAGGGAAATGGTAAGAATGAGGCGCTGGTGACCCCCTTAAGGGAATGGATGGGTGTTATGCAACATCACGACGCCGTCTCCGGTACTGAGAAACAACACGTCGCCGATAATTATGCGCTGAAATTGTCTAAGAGTATAGAAAAATGCAAAACAGTTGTCAATCAATCGCTAAATTCATTGATTTCGAAATCCGATCCCAAATTAAATCAATTATTTTGTAACGCCTTGAATGTGAGCGCCTGTGCTGTCACTGAAGGCACCGACAATTTGGCGGTTACTATATATAACCCTTTCGGACATAATGTCAATTCAGTCATCAGACTACCGGTCACTTCTAAAGCCTACAAAGTTTTGGATCCGAAGGGAACTGCAGTCAAATCAGATATCGTTCCCATTCCTACCTCTGTCCTTAATCTCAAGGAAAGAGTTAGTAAAGCAAAGGATGAACTGGTATTTAATGCATATATCCCGGCGCTTGGATTTGCAACTTATCTGTTGAAAGCAAGCGGACCACAGAATGGCGTAAATGAGGCGAAAGTGACTCAAATAACGGAAGCCTTTGGTATAAAATCTAAATCTATGAACATTTTATTCGACAAAACGGGTGCTTTGAATGCAATTCAGTTGAAGGACGGAAAGGTTGTTGACTTCAAGCAGAACTTTGAGTACTATAAGGCTCACGACGACCACTCAGGAGCTGACCATCAAGCATCTGGAGCTTATATATTCAGATCAGATGGTGACACACCTGAAATCTATAAGAATGGACTTCAATCAGAATTAGTGGAGACATCAAATGGCAGAGAAATTCATCAAACAGTCAATGAATACATATCACAAGTCATCAGAATTTCCGAAAATAGTGATGTCATTGAAATGGACTTCACTGTCGGACCCATTCCTGTGGACGACAAGATTGGCAAAGAAATCATCTCTCGATGGGAGACAAACCTCACCACAAATGGACTTTTCTATACAGACGCTAATGGAAGACAATTACTTGAACGCAAACGTGACTACCGGCCCACTTGGCAGCTAATTGTTAACGAGAAAATCGCCGGAAACTACTATCCCGTCAACAGTCGTATTGCTATCAAAGATGTCAAACAAGACATTCAAATGACTGTTTTGAACGACAGATCACAGGGAGGATCGAGTATTAAAGACGGAAGCGTTGAGCTAATGGTCCACAGAAGAGACCTCTACGACGACCACTTCGGTGTCGCAGAAGCACTGAGTGAACCGGGATTTGATGGAAAGGGTCTCCAAATTAGAGGCAAATTTTGGATTCACTTCACGAGTATAGCCGAAGCGGCCGAAGCACACAGAGAGACGGCATTTGATATCCTTATGGAGCCGTCCCTTACTTTTGCCAAATATAGCGGTTCTGAAGAGGAATACC